CATAGAGTATAATATCAATGATTCATAGGTTGGCTTCAGTCATTGACAGTCTATACATGCATTGCGGTATTGCTTAAACTTTTAATTAAGGAGCATCTCAGTGCAAAATAGACAAACCCGAGATTTGATTTGGCAGTATTTTGAAACTCTCACAGGAAACAAATCATATAATAAATTGGTAATGTTTTTACAACAATGGTTCCCCTCCCTCCAAGACTTAAAAAAAAACAAACTCTTGAGCCATAAATTCATGTCATGTCCTACAGAGAAAAATTTGGTATTAGTAAATTACTTATAGGACCGGAGGGAGAGGCAAACTGCATTTCAAATATATAACTGAAATATTAAAATAGTTTTTCTTGGCCCAACGCATTTTATCTCTGGGCTACAGGGCAGTTTGTGTTATCTGTTGCACCCACAGATGCGTGTGGTTCCGCTGTCATGGTGTGGCGTTAATATCATGTCTTTTTTCTCTTCTTGCTCCACCCAATGTGCCTTACTTGCAAGTAAGTTCATGACTCACGTGGCCTCCCAGTTCGCCTCCAGCTATGTGTTTTATTGGCGGGATTACTTTGAGGAGCAGCCCCTTCTCTATCCCCCAGGCTTTGATGGAAGAGTAGTGGTGTATCCTAGCAACCAGACCTTAAAGGACTACCTCAGCTGGCGGCAAGCAGATTGTAAGTGAAACCAAATAAACAGATGTAAATACCAATTCCATACATTGGAGGTGGTGATCTGGTACAGATGTGGCTCGTGTGTATTTTGTTTGAAATGAAATATTTCAAATTTTTTAAATTAGTTGAAAATAATTTAAAAATTTGGAAATTTTATATTAATATTTGCTGTTTCTAGCTTTTTTGAAAAATCAGATCTGGCATTACGGGGTCTACATTCCCACTTAGTGTTGGACAGAAGCTGTGCAGTGACTGCTGCATTTATACACACACGCCCCCACACAGGAGCCAGTGTGCCGTAGGCTCTACCTTTCCCTGTTGTTCCCCTGGGGTCACCTACTCTGCTTTACATGTTTATGTTCGTGCTGGCCTCAGTGGGTATTTGAGTTGTGACCTCTGCCTTATATGACTATGATGAAATGTTCACAAGACTTTTACTCATTTGGTGTATCTTGACTTTGCCAGAACTGGAAAAGAGGTGGGAATAATGTAAATCAAATAACTTTGAAAGTATTCCTAAGCTTAATGGACAGGTTAACAGATTTGTGTGTAAAGCATAACTGAAATGACAGAATAAAACTGTTAGGAAATGAGGTTTTTTTCTGTTTTACCACCTCCCCTCATGTTCCTGTGTATGGCTTTGGGCAAGTCACTAAACGTTTCTGAGATCTCTTTATAGAGGAGAGAGGCGGGGCTCTAGGATTCTTGGACACTTGAATATTGAATAAAGATTCTGTATGTATAAACAGTGCCACTTTGTTCTCTTCACAGGTCACATCAATAATCTTTATAATACAGTTTTCTGGGCACTTGTACAACAGTCTGGACTAACACCAGCGCAAGCCCAAGAGAGATTACAGGTAGAAAGATCTTCCCGTATTAATACTTGGCTGGGACAGTTTTCTGTACACTCTCCCATAACAGTTTGCATTCTTTTGTAGCTCTCTTTATAGCTTTGTTTTGAAAGGATATAAAAATCATATTAGTGGCAGCTCGCTTGCTTGCTCTGTGACCCTAGCAGAGTTACTACTCCTCCCTGATCCACGTGACCTCAGCTGGAAAATGGAATCAGTGCCACTGGCTCTGCGTTCCCACATGGTGACAGTTGGCTGGAGCTGCGGATTGGCTGCCCTCTGTAGACAGGGCATGTGCTCTTCTTTTTGATGTCAGTCCCATCTGGCCTCTTCCCTTGTTGCCATTCCCTGCTAGGCACCTAGAGTTTCTTGGGTTTATGACCCCTGTGTATTGTTAAGAGTCTAGGCTCTGGGGACCAAGTAATCATACTCAGATCATGCTTCTGTTTAATTTTATCCTCTCTGCCTTCATTCTTTATAGGTAAAATGTGGAAAATAATAGTTCTTACCTCATAGGTATATGGTGAGAATTAAATGGCATGATGCCTGTAAAACACATAGGATAGTACAAAGCATACTGTGAGTACTTAATAAATCCTGGCTTTTGTTATTAGATGACAGTGCTACTTATAGGATGACTAACTCTAAAATGAGGTGCTCTGTTGTAACAGCTCCTAGTACAATGCCTGGTACATTATAATTACTCAGTAAATGGTTGTCATTATTAACAATAGTGATGAAGATTTATATATGGCAATAATAGGAAGGCTGGTAGATCTGTATACAGAGTTTGGAAGAGCCAAGTTTAGACTTTGATTCTTCTTATAAGAATAAGAGCAACCTTCAGCCTAGGGAATTTATGTAATCTTTCTAAGCTTGAGTTCTCATCTCTGAAATGGAGATGGTCATGAGGGTCAAATAGGAAGATAAACATAGTGTATCTTTTACAGAATAGGTACACAGTTACTGTTCATTCCTCTCACCCCATCACGGTCATTTCTTGTGAAGCCAGTTGTTTGCTACAGAAGAGAATCTTAGGAATTTAAACACTGAAATGAGATTGAACTACTGTTAAAATGAAAATTCATTAGTATCTATAAGACGTTTGATAAAACCCTTCCACTTCTTGATTTCTTTGTGGAAGTTTAGACAGAGGGTGGAAAGGATAGGTGGCGTTAGGGGAGAGAGAAGACTTATAAAGCTTTTTATATCTGTTTTTATTTCCCCAGGGAACTCTTGCAGCAGACAAAAATGAAATTTTGTTTTCTGAATTCAACATCAACTACAACGATGAGCCACTGATGTACAGGAAAGGGACTGTGTTGATATGGCAGAAGGTAATGCAGTTATGTCCAAAGAAAAATGGAGGTCAGGGAAGAAGAGAGCCTGTGCCCAGCCCATCTTGCCTGCCACCTGTATGCTGATGTGACTCCAGTCACTAGCATGAATTAGATCCTCTCCAAAACAAAATGTCACCGATGATTATTTTGGATGCTTATTTTGTCAGTCAGTGCTCATTTTGTCAGTTTCTTTGTCATTGAACTTCGTGATCAGGAATCTTCCCTCCTATAAGTAGAATCACAGAATTTTAGAACCAGTACACTTATTTTTCTGTCATAAGCTCTCCCCAAATCAAATAAATCCCCTTTAAAAGGGTACAGTGCAGATATGAGGATTTTTGCATTCATAGAACATTTAAAAAGTACTTTCTGCCACACTAGATAATACCATTGAATGGTCTGTCCATCCCAGGACACCTGTGATATGAGGCACTAAAAGATGTTGGATATGAGCAATCTCTCACTTGCAGAATGTTCATGAGAGTCCCCAGGCATTCATACTTACCTTAATATTCTGTAATAAGTCTGTATATTTACCTAAATCCTTAATTCTACCAATGTTTTCTCTCTGTACCAGCTCCTGGGCATAATGATTTCTCTAAATTTATTTCCTTCCGTGTAAAGTAGTTTTTTCTGAAATGAATGTTTTCAAGTATTAATGGGTACCTTGAGAGCTAGTCATTCCACTGGTAACTTCGTTGCCTTTATTAGTATTTTTAAAATACATTTGTTACTTGGCACAGACTTACATAATGCAAGTGGGAGAGCAGAAATACTCTTAATTTCTATAGTTATTGCTAACAAGGATCCTTGAATCCTTCCTTTGTTCCTAAGATCTCCTTTCAGAATATAGCAACATAACTTTGAAAAGTATTTTTAATTGTAAATAAGTTCATGTTGAGATATGTGTGTGCATCTACCTGATAAATATGTATTAATCAGAAGTATATGAAGTAAAAATGTGAACTTCCCGCACATCTCCTTCTCTCCCAAACCGACTCTAGTTAACAGTGTCAATATTTTAACTTTTTCTCGTAGGTGGGTGAAGTCACAACAAAAGAAGTTAAGCTGCCAGCAGAAATGGAAGGAAAAAAGATGGCAGTGATCCGGACCAGGACTAAGCCAGTGCCCTTATATTGTGATATCATCGGGGATGCTTTCTGGAAGGAACATCCAGAGATCCTACATGAAGACAGCTGACCCTTTGCTTTTCAGTCCTGGCGTGCTTAACCCTGCACGGCCCCCCAAGTCTCCTGGCCTTAGGTGGCCCTGGCATCTCTACCACCCAGAAGAGTGTGCCGGGAGTGACTTGACTCTGGTTGGGAGGGGAACGGGAGAGGAAAAGATGGACGGGGGGAGTGTATCTTGTTCTGCTTTAAGTGGAACACCTCTTTTGCAGTGTTGGAACATGTTTCCTTTGGTAGAAGTGCAGTTTTTTTAAAATCATGATACTATTTTTATAAAGCAAGAACTATTTTATGCCTTCCAGAATGAATCATTTTTAGATTGTGACATCAGTCTTATAAAAACCTGTCAAGCTCTTTCCACCTGTGATAGAAGACGAGCCCAAACTTTACTCTCACTCACCTATTCTTAACTACAGAATCCAGTGACCTGGAAAATCTCACCTTTCCCACACATCTACTTGCATTCATCTTTGGCAGACCTGGCATCAGTATGGGTTGATGGCTTCACGATGCTTCTGAATTCAGGAATTCCTGGGAAAACTCAGGCTTGGTGCCAGTCTCCAATTTGGCAACTTTGGCTGAAGAAATGAGTAGTAGTTTGCATGTCCTTGTGTAAACATTCCATAGATTGATTTTGTGGAGTTGTCAGCATGATCATCATCATTTTCTTGCCAGGACCATTGTTTCCAAGGCCACTTAACCTCTTTCTAAGAAGAAAGAATTATGTGTATATATGAGAGAAAGAAAACGTGAGTGAGGATGAATGAACAAGGAGGGAGAAACATTTACTCCATGTCCTCTAGATACTGCAGTTTTAAAAGTCACCTTCCTGTTGGACTTCCTGGAAAGGATTCTCAGGTAGCCTCCGTATAATCAAAACAATGACATTTGCATTGCAGAGCTGAGGGGTCAGCATGCCCCTTGGGGGTCAGAGGTGCAGGTGTTAAGGGAGTCTTCAGAGACCCACCTGCCGAAGGGCCAGCGGAGGTGAGTGAGGAGCAGCAGACAGCAGCTGCAGTCTGCGTATGGCCAAGCTGCTGGCCTCTGAAGGGGGCAGGTGGTGGGGGTAGGTGGTGAGACAACTCACAGTACCTCTTGTCCTCATTTCATATTTTAGAGGAAAAAGATGATTTGGCTCTATTAAGAATTAATTAAGAGATAGCCCACGTCCCAGTGCCTGGTCTTGCATTGCAGAATTTACAGCCAAGAAGAAGATGTATTTTTGAAAGTGTGACAGCTGGGCTCATCCCTCATTAGTTGACACCGCATCTGTCAATGCCATTTTTCCCCTCCTGTTCTCACTCCCCGGGAATAAGAGAGAGGGCTCATGTTTGGTAATTGATAAAATTTCTTTGAAGAAAAATAAAGGTTGCAACTCCCTTGGCCTAATTTTTCATTTCATTTTTTCATACAAATGCAGTATATGAATTCAACTTCTGTGTCTGTGTGTGTGTTTTACATAAGCCAGGATACACATACCTTCATCAGAGGAGTGGTTCACAGACTTCTGGATACAAAAATTACTTGGAACGCTTGTTTTAAATGCTGACTCCAGGCTCCCTCTCCCATGAAGATTTGGGGTTCAGATTTTCAACCCCAAAGGCTTCTGATGCCTATCTTTGGGTGTCCATCTACTGCACTTTGGACAACAAGATACACTGTGGTAGGCCAAGTGAAGCAGTAAGATAATGTAGCTCTTGACTGGCAAATGTAACTTAGTGGTAAGTCAATTTATAGCATTTTATATCAAAATAAATATAGATACACATAGGCATTAGAGTACAAACTTCCGAGACAAAGCCATTTAAAGAAATAGGCTTTCTGTGGATGCTATATGATACTACAAAAGCTATCACAATTTGTCATAAGATATGGGAACAAGCCCTTATTCATTGAATTGTCAGCAGTTTGCAACTTTGAGTTTCTTGGGCAGGGAGTTTGAGCAAAGGAATATCCTGGGCTTAATACTCATGCCATAACTTACCCTGTAGTGCCATTACTTAGAAGCTCGACGCTCAGTGGTTTTCACATTATCCTTGTTGCAGTATGTATATATTGCACAGTTGTATATTAATTTTCATCTTGTTCTCTTAAGGTAAAGAATAGTATTCTCTCAGGCTTCCTTTCCAAATCTAAGGAAACTTTAAAATACACACAAAAGCAGCTAGTATAGAATTAATACTAGTTAATAGTTTGGGGGAGTGGTGGTAGTTAAAATTATTTGTGTGGCGTATAGGTGACTGGAAACATCTTAGGTCTGTTAGATGCGGGGGTAATACCTGGGCCTTTGCTGTCTATACTTTAATATCCAAAAACAAATGGCTTCCTGAACGGTGTCTATAAAGTGCAACCAGGTCTGGTAAGTCCTCCATCATCCTGTCTTCCAAGAGCTGGATCCTCACTTCCTCCAGTTGCTTAACAATGCTGAGAAAATCAGTGATAGAATGAATTTTCTTGAATACCAAGGTCTCTGGTGTTAGTGCCAATTACTTTTTCCATAGGGTGTAGGAAATGGAGCAATGGGATCCACCCATCCTTCATAGTTTCACTGTCCTTTTAACCAAAAATTACCTAACGTTCACAGAGCATTTATTATGCACTCTACATCCACACTCTCTTCATTCTTAGGACAATTCTATGAGGTAGGTACTATTTCTATCATATTTCAGATGAGATTGTAAAGACGCAGAGAAGCTAAGTAATTTGAGTCCAGATGGGCTACCCCCAGTGGAACTCAGCAGGAAAGCAAACGGGGACCTTGGTTGCCCTCTTCCCGCCAGCTCCAGCTGCGGGTAGCCTGCACTTCCAGAGAGCAAAGGCTTGGGGAGCTTGTTAAAACGCCGGTCTCGGCTTCATCCCCAGGGAATCTGGACTGTTAACAAACACCCAAGTGATAATATAGATGGAGAAATACTGCTTTAAAGCAGATTAACCTGTCACCGGGCGCTGAGCCGCTGGGGGCCCGGCGGGTCGCAGTGTCCCGCCACGCCCCCGGCGGGGCAGAGCGCGGACAGATGCTGCCCCCCGGCGGCCGCTCGGGCGCAGTGAGGCCCCGCGCCGCGGCTGCGCAGTGCCGCCCTCTGGCGGCTCCGCTCCTTCTTCCCATCGGCCTCGGCTTGCGGGCCTTTCAAACATGGAGGAGCGGGAGCGGGGGGCGAGGCCGGCTGGCGCCGGGAGCCCCGCGCGCCCGCCCAGCCCGCGCCTGGACGTCAGCTCTGACAGCTTCGACCCGCTGCTGGCCCTGTACGCGCCGCGCCTGCCTCCCATCCCCTACCCCAACGCGCCCTGCTTCAACAACCTGGCCGAGTATGAGAGCTTCCTCCGGACCGGCAGCCGGGGCGGCGGGCGCGGGCGGGCGCGGGGCGCGGCCGCGGGCTCGGGGGGCCCCGCCGCCGCCGGGCCCTCGGGCAGGACCCGCCGCCGCCCGGACGCCCCCGCCCCGGACTCCGACCGCATCCAGCGCCTCCGCCGCCTCATGGTGGCCAAGGAGGAAGGGGATGGGGCCGCCGGGGCCGCCGGGGCCGCCGGGGCGCGCCGCCGGGGTCCGGCTCGGAGCAGGAAGGCGCCGCGCAACGTGCTCACGCGGATGCCCTGTGAGTTCGGCCCGCGGTCCGGAAGCGGGCGGCCGAGGGGGCTCTGCGGGCTGGACGGGGCTGGGCGCAGGGCTGCACGTCCGAGGGGCAGGGTCTGGGTGAAGGTTTGCAGAGATAATCGGGGACCGTGGGGAGGTTCTGCTTGAGTCCTGTGGGTAACGGGGGCGTGGGGAGTGTCGTCTTGGCTGCAGAAGGGTCTGCAAGAGCGGTGGGGGAAGAGTGGAGGCTGTAGAGGGCATAAGGAGCCCTGGGGAGGGGCCGCCTGGGTAACAGGTGGAGGAGGTCTGCAGAGATGATGGGGTCCGTGGTCGTGGTTACAGGGGTGATGTGGAGGCTGTGGAGAGGAGCTGCAGCAGTGATGGGGTGTGGAGAGGGCGGGGGGCCTGGAAACAGGACGTCATAGGGAGGCTCTGCAGAGGTGGTGGGAGGTCTTGGAGACCACAGACGGAGGAGGTGGTGACAGCCTGTATCGGGGGAAGGAGAGTGTTTGGTCAGTGGGGTTTGAGGATGATGGGATGGAGTGTGGAGAGATCTGTTCAGATAGCAAAGGGGACAAAATGTGATAACCCCTGCACGTTGACAGCTCATTCTCGGTTTCTGTAAACGGGAGAAGGGCCCCAGGGTCTTGATACACTTGTGTTCACGTTACCAAATCACGAATGTTGGAATGCAGCGACCACAAAGTGCCCCTAAGACGGAGAGTGTTTTACAGCCGCTCTGCCAGGCTGGGTGCAGGACTGTGTCTGTCAGGCTCCTATTACCACCATATGCGCGGGTTATTTTCAGTTCTGAAGGTGTAAATGGCACACGGGGATTTCTTGGAGCCTCCTAAGAGTTCCTTGGAGTAAAGCTGTAAATAGCAGAGGTTGCTAATGTGTGAGTTAGGTCTTGTATAAATGGAATAAAAACAACCCAGAGTTATATCTTTTGTCATCTGGCAAGCAGTTCTGACATCTGCCGGGTGAACACCATGACCTACTTAGCCATTCAGAGCATCTGTATCCTGATAGCTAAATTGTGACATTATTAAATCACTGCCTTTGGAATGGAAGGTTGTGCTAAGCAAGGGGATATTTTGTTTCATTCCTAGAAATGTGTTTATTGAGAAAGAAACATCCTGAAAAGCTGTGTGCTGTGGAGGGTGCCTTTGTCAGGTGATTTCTTGTGCCTGAGCATCCCCACCCAAGCCAGAGTTTACCCCAGCTCGCTTGCCCAGCAGTAACACAGATAGAGTATGCATGTTCTTAAAGTGGGAGCAGCCTGGGGGGCCTTATTCTGCCTATGCTTTGTGCAGCTGTACATGGTTGAAATGCACTTCAAGTCTCAGATGGTAACATTTCTTTCCATTTGGCCAGTTATTGCTTTGCTACCGAGATTACCAAGGAAAAGAAATATTTCTATGTAGTCTGCTATGACAGAGCTTCGTAAAGGCCAGCTTTGTCGACTTCCCACGACTAAATATATGTCTGAAATCAAGGTCTCAGAGAATGTGTCCAACACACTGAAAATTTTAGTCACGCCTCTGGAAACAGTTGGCCGTACATGATAGAGATGAGTAGCCATCACAGAGTCGATGACCTTCAGAAAGAAAAAGAAAGGACAAAAGCATAGGTGAGGATTAGATTTATTTAAGAAAGTTCCTTTAAGAGGTCAGCTTTAGGTCTTGAAGTTAAGGAAGGCCATAGTTGAGGATGACAGTAATTATTTGAAAATCAGGCTATTGAGGTGTAATTTATATGTAGAAAATTCACCTCTTTTTTTTTATGGTTAGCAATTTTTTTATTGAAGGTGGTAGTTTATAACATTGTGAAATTTCAGTTGTACTTTATTATTATTTGTCAGTCACCGTATAAATGTGCCCCTTCACCCCTCGTGCCCACCCCCAGTCCCCTTACCCTCTGGTAACCACTAAACTGTTCTCCTTGTCCGTGTGTTCGTTTATCTTCCACATGTGAGTGAAATCATATGGTGTTTATCTCTCTCTGTCTGGCTTATTTCCTTTAACATCACACCATCAAGGTCCGTCCATGCTGTTGCAAATGGGAGGATTTTGTCTTTATGCCTGAGTAGTATTCCATTATATATATGTATATACACACCACATCTTCTTTATCCACTCATCAGTCGATGGGCATTTGGGTTGCTTCCACATCTTGGCTATTGTGAATAATACTGCAATGAACATAGGGGTGCATAAACCTCTGAATTGTTGATTTCAAGTCCTTTGGATAAATACCCAGTAGTGGGATAGGTGGGTCATATGGTATTTCTATTTTTAATATTTTGAGAAATCGCCTTACTGTTTTCCAGAGTGGCTGTACCAGTTTGCATTCCCACCAGCAGTGTATGAGGGTTCCCTTTTTTCTACAACCTTTCCAACATTTGTTATTTTTTTGTCTTGGTGGTTACAGCCATTCTATTGGAAATAAGGCGATATCTTAGTGTAGTTTTGACTTGCATTTCCCTGAAGATTAGTGGTGTTGAACATCTTTTCATGTGCCTATTAGCCATCTGTATATCTCCTTTGGAAAAATGTCTGTTCATATCCTCTGCCCATTTTTTGATCGGGTTATTTGTTTTTTTGTTGTTCAGTTGTGTGAGTTCTTTATATGTTTTGGAGATTAACCCCTTGTTGGATATATGATTTGCAAGTATTTTCTCCTACTTGGTGGGTGGTCCTTTCACTTTGATCCTGGTTTCCTTTGCCTTGCAGAAGCTCTTTAGTCTGATGAAGTTCCGCTTGTTTATTTTTCTTTTGTTTCCCTTGTCTGAGTAGACCTGGTATTCGAAGAGATCTTTCTGAGACCAATGTCAAAGAGTGTACTGCCTATATTTTCTTATAGTTTTATGGTTTCAGGTCTTACTTTCAAGATTTTGATCCATTTTGAGTTACTTTTTGTGTACGGCAAAAAGGTAATGATCTCCTTTCATTCTTTTGCATGTGGCTGTCCAGTTTTCCCAACACCATTTATTGAAGAGACTTTCCTTTCTCCGTTGTTTGTTCTATGTCTGTGAAGAGTGTCATTGGGATTCTTATTGGGATTGCATTGAGTCTGTAGACTGCTTTAGTTAGTATGAACATTTTAACTATGTTTATTCTTCCAGTCCATGTGCATGGAATATCCTTCCATTTCTTTATGTCATCATCAATTTCTTTCAATAACGCCTTATAGTTTTCATTATATAAGTCTTTCACCTCCTTGGTTAAATTTATTCCTAGATAGAAAATTCACCTTTTTTAAAGTGAGTTTTGGCAAATTTTGGTATAGTCGTGAAACTGACCACCACGATCAAGACAGAACATGTCTATCACCTCAGAAAGTTTCCCCCTGCCCCTTTGTAAGTCAGGTGATCATTTTATTGTTGCTAATAATAGCTACTGTTATTGAGCACATCTGTGCTTTACACTTTGCTAAGCCCTTTAGATACATTATATCTCATTTTTCCCCTGGATACTACTTTATCGATGAGGAAACTGAGGCTCCTTGAGCTTAACTACTTGCCTAGGGTCACATAGCTAGTGAGTTTGCAGGTGATACTTAAACCTGAGTCTGTCCAACTCCGGGGCCCATGTGCTTAACCAGTATGTTCATCTCAGGAGAGCGAAGAGAGTACATTCTCGTATTTCCTTGCTTGTTTTGGTGAGTGGAGGATGCTGCATATGTGATGCGAGGGTTCCTGTCCAGAGCAATGAGAACTGAATTTGGGTCCAGAGAGGGATTTGTTGCTAGAATGCTTTGAAGACCCAAACCAAAGAGTTTCTGTTTGAGTTTGTTATGCTAGAGAGTGGGAACCATGCTGTATATTCTTAAGCAAAAGCACTTTTGGGCCGATGTTTCTAGGAGCTGAGTTTCCAGTAGTAAAATGTTTTGGTGGGTAGAGCACAGCTCAGGCTCAGGGGTTTGACTGCCTGCGTCTGAACACTGGCCTCTCCACTTTCCAGCTGTTTTCCTTTAGACAAGTTATTTAAACTCTTTGGGGCCTCAGTTTCCTCATCTATAAAATGAGTTGTGAGGTTTAGGTTACTTAACACATTTAAAGCATTTACAGTAGTGATGTTCCCTACCACGTAGGGAAGTTCTCAATGAATGTTAAATGTCACTGTTATTGTTGTAGGTTGTTGTTGTGGTTATTATTATTTTTAGACTGTCATGATTAAAAGCCCCCGGTCAGGATGCATATAACCTGCCTCTATTCAGTGTTGGCTGAGCTGTTTGCTAGGTCAGTAACCTTGAGCCAATTATTTAAACCTTTCTGGGCCTCAGTTTGCTCATCTATAAAATGGGGTGGAATAACAGTACCCATGTGTTAGAGTTGTGAGGATTAAATAAGATAATGTATGTAAAGTTAAACTTCCCTCAGGGCCTGGCTCGTACCAAGGGCTCAGTAATTGATGATCATGATGGTGACAGTGATGACAATGATGTTGTTGATGTGATTGATGGGAGCTAGGAGGCTGTTGCAGTAAATCAGTCATCTGCTGAGGCTCTGGACTGTATTTTTGGTTGTGGAAAGAGAAAGGAAAGGGCAGGTCTGACTTATTGAGAATCTATTGACCTGTATTTGGAAGGGTGTAGCCCAAAGTAGTGGCAGTGGAGAAGGGGATTTGGAAGAATAACTTTCTTAAAAATAAAGGGTGTGTGTGTGTGTGTGTTTGTCTTAAGTTTTAGAAGCCTGTGTGTATTTATTTATTTATTTATTTATTGTCATATTAAGTTTCAGAAGCCTGACTTGAGCTCCATATGGAGTCTGTCACAGAGCCTCCTGGAGGAGATTCAGAGGGTGCATTCTCATTCAGAATGTGGAGCTCGTTTTCGCCTTGGCAGTTTGCTCTGATAGGTGGTGCTAGTATATTTTTGATGACACAAGGACAGAAGTGCTCCCTGAAATTACACCTTATTAAATCTTTGGAAGAAAAAGAAAATCAAGAGATGTGAGAGTTGAAAGACTTGAGTTTGCCATTTGTTTAGTTAGAATAAGAAATTGTTGTTAAGATATATGCTTGTCCTTTCTCTCTGTCTTGGGGGTTTGGGGGGGAAGTTGTGCCCCTGTTTTTCTCCAAGTTAGAAGAGGAATAGTCTTTCCACTCTTCATGGAAACACCTGTGTGTGTAGTGGTGGTGGTTGGCGGGGTGGAGAGGGGCGCGTGCAGTGAATGTGTGTAAGTAATGGGAGTAATCCAGGCATTGTAATCAGTTTCTAAGGAATTGAATTATAGAGACTTATTCCTAAAATGAATCTGGAAGTTAACTATTCTAACCTCAACTTATGAATGAGGAAATTCAGACTGGTAGAGAAAGTTACTCACCAAGGTCACACAACTAGTTAAAATGAAAAGTTGTTTACAATGCTTGACGTAACACAGTCTGTAACACATACAGATATGTGTACATGCACACACACGCACACACACATACCCATATAAATCAAAAGTTCAAAGAATTTTAAAATCTTGCCTCTACAGAGGAAGGGTAGATGATGAAGGTCAGACCAAGGTTCTCATGTTCCTTTCCAAGGCCGCTGTTTCTGCCACTCTGCCTCCAACTGTGCCTTCTTGCTGAATCTTCAATCTGGCATAAGCTCCTACCTCTCACCTGCTATGTCACTTTCTTCCAAGAGTATTTTCTTTTGTAATTTCATCCCTGCCATCATTTATAAGCCAGTCCATGAGTGGGGGATAAGGAGAGCATGAGTAATCAACCTAGTTATCCACACTAAGTGCAGGACTCTTCTTCCCCTTTTGCCACTGAGAACAAAACAAAGGGAGCTTTTTTGTTTGTTTACTATTAATGGCAATAATTGCCAAAGAATTTTCCTTGCAAGCTTGGGAGGGAAAAATTGAGACTGTGTATGTGTGAGTGTAAGAATGTGTGTCTGTATGTGTGTGGTTTTCTTTTGGGAGGTTTTATATAGTATAGCCAGCATACTGTGAAGGCTAAGTTAACATGAAGTAATAAAAATAAAATTCATTCCTGCTCCCAAGCTCTGAAAAAAAGAATCCATCATAGTAAAAGCTGCAATTGATAGTCCCAATATTTTTGCCATAAATTGTCATACTGCTCTTTTTGCATGATGCTTATCAGCAGTCTCATAGGAGCCAGATGCTCAGTAGGTGTCTTTATACCATCAAGGCTTGGAATACAACCAGTCTTCCTCCTAATGTGAAGATGATGTGCATTGAAACATTAGTGACCCCAGAGAGCTTGTGCATGGAGTAGTTCAGACTAGGGGGGCCAAAAGGCCATTCTCTTAGAGGATTACATTCATGAGATTCATGAGAACTGTCCTGGAAAAAAAAAATTGCCTAACAAGGCACAGAATTGAGAACAATCTAGCTGTTCATGTGTATATTTAATGTGGTCTTTCTGTTTTGTCCAAAAAAGCTTTTAAATGATGGTCCAACTTAGAATTAGTGACATCAGAGAAATAAGCTATATAGGTAGTGGAACATTTGGATGACAGCCATGCGTGTGGTTTACCCACATTCTGGTGGAGTCTTGCCTCGTTTCAGTGTATGTTGCCTGTACTAGCAGTGTTGTCCCTTGGGCCTTCCAGCTCCCGCGGTGAGATTGCCTCTGCACCATGTTGCCTTGTGCTGCCAGAGATGGTTGGGGGGTCTTGGTAGTTAATCTGGGGAATGAGAGCAGATCTTCATGCCATGCTGACCGTTCTCTTGTTCCAGTGCACGAAGGCAGCCCTCTGGGTGAACTGCATCGCTGTATCCGGGAGGGGGTGAAGGTGAATGTTCACGTCCGCACGTTCAAGGGACTGCGGGGCGTCTGTACGGGCTTCCTCGTCGCATTTGACAAGTTCTGGAATATGGTAATTAAGCCTTTCTCACGGGGCTGGAGGACCTCCTAGGGATTAAATCTGTTGTAGACCTGAGTAACCTAATTCACCAAAACCTACAGAATAACTTCCCAGAGGAACTGGAATCTTTGCATTCTCTTGGCCAGCACAACAAAGTTCTTTTTATTGCTTCATGTTCCTTCAGACAGAGGCTTTCAACTGGGGCAGTTTTGCCCTTCTCTCCCTCCTGGGGACATTTGGCACTGTCTGGGGACATGTTTTTGAAGATCACAACTATGGGATGGAGTGCTACTGGCATCTAGTGCGTAGAGGCCAGGGATGCTGCCGGACGTCCTGTAATTCAAAGACAGCGCCCCAACAACAAAGAATGATCTGGTCCAAAATGTCATCAGTGTCAAGGTTGAGAAACCTAGCCTTAAGGAGTAGTTACTTATTTCATCTGTTTGGTAATTTTATATGGATTTCCCAGCAACCATTCTTTGATTCATTTAAAAATATACATTGACTTCCCATGGGCTGGGCACAGTGCTAGGTACAGAAATTTCAGAAAGGAACTTTCACTCTACAGTTTTGGGAACAATAGATAAGGATAGATGGGAGGCAGACATATTAATAAACAAGCCACTTTGCATGATGTTTCCTTATGAAGAAGTGTACCACGTGCCCCCAGCCATCTGAGGGTGTTCACTGGACGTTTGTAGGAGAGAAGGGATGTATTACAGCACAACCATAATACGACGCAGTTAAAATAGGAGCCACCAGGGCTTTCCAGTGCTGCTTTTCCATATGGTCTTCCATCTCCAACTTTTCTTTTCCCTGTGCTTTATCTGCATCCCTGCATTCTCCTGGATAATAATAGTTGCTAATATTTATTAAGCCCTGACTGTGTGCCAGATACTATACTAAAGACTTTATATAGATTATCTCAGTTATTGAGTTGAAGGTGTATTACTATTCCATTTCACAGATGAAGAAATTGAGGCTAGAGCTAGTGGAAGATTAGCCCAAGATCACACTGTTAGTAAGTGGAAGTACCAGGACTTGATCCCAGGTCTTTCTGACTCTTAAAACCATGTTTTCAACTGCTATGGAATCAGAAAACCCGGACTTTAAGCCTAGTTTTACCACTTGGTAGCTGTGTGACTCTAGGCAAGATAATTTCTCTCAGCCTCAGTTTTTTCATCTCTAAAATGTAGGAAGAAATATTCTATTAGAATTTTACCTTTGGGGGGAAGATTTGAGAGGGTATACTTGATGACTGGATGGTAACGATTATACTGCCAGCTTCCGTTTGTAAGGTGATGTACACTTTTCATAGTAATTTCTCATACACAGTCTCATTTGAGTCTAACACCTGTGCGGTGAGGTTGATCTCTCAGTGGCAAGAATTCACTAGCAATTCTGTGGGCAGCCATGGTTCATCTCTGTTGACTGCTGTGATAAGATGTAGAAGCTGAAGAGGGAAGGAAGCAGTTGAGTAGTGTTTCTCAGAGTGTGCTCTAAGGCCGTCCTGCCTCAGCATTATGAGGTTTCTGGTCAAAACAGAAAGTTTCTGGGCTTCGTTCCAGACCTCCTGAGTCAGAATCTCTAGAAGAGTAGCCTTGGATTTATAATTAATAAGCTTCCTAGATGGTTCTGCTCCCCGGATTTAAGAACCTGTGCCGTGCAGTTGTAAAGGCCGCTCACCATAGAAGAAGCGTGTCTTTTGTGCTGGTAGCAGCTTGGAAATCCTACTCGGAATCTGCCCGGTATTACCATTTTTTCCTGCCCCAGAGCTGAGTCACCTGTTAAGTTTAGTTCTGCTACAATTAGATGTTATTCTGCCTTTTTAAAGTTTTCCTGAAAGCTGTAAAAATAATGTCTTTAATTCTGCCTCGTTTTTTCCCCTTTGGGCTGTTTCTCTAGGCACTTACTGACGTGGATGAGACCTACCGGAAACCTGTGCTAGGCAAAGCATATGAACGGGACTCTTCACTGACTCTCACGAGGGTAGGCGGCTCCCCACTTCCTGAGCCCCCAGCATACTTTCAGGGTTAAGAATCAAGGTCACTGAGCCCGGTGACTGGGGTTTCCTAGCGGGAAAGCCGTGTTGCTGTCAACCAGCCATGCCTGGACCAAAGTCTTCCTTAGTCTCTCTTCTGTGCATCCAGCTAATCTCACATGAGTCTGTGCTTCTGACCTGCATGTTGTTTGAGCAACAAGTTCCTTCTTATAAGGCTTAAAAGTCTTTTAGTTTTATACTATAGAAATAAGCAAGTGCCTTTTCTCTTGACATACTTAATGACTTATCTGAGCTATGGCTGGAAGTAGAAAATTCATTACTAACTTTTTAAGAATTGCCAAGCAAGAAGTCCACAGAGCTTAATTAAGGAATCTGGTCTTTTTTCTGTGTATTAAAAGAGGGATGTTGAAGGCTAGAAGAGAAGGCTGATATTTGTCATTGCTTTCCTTATAGCTGTTTGATCGACTAAGACTTCAAGATTCCTCCAAGAAGGAAGCAGATTCTAAGTCTGCAGTTGAAGACTCCACTCTGTCCAGATACTCCCAGACATCCACTTGGAAGGTGGCTTCAGTGTGGGGAAGAGGAGACACTGACCGGGGCTCACGCAAGCGTTCCCGCTCCGTCCCTTCTTCCCTGCAGGCGTCTACAAGGGAGGAATCCCGGTCAGAGCTATCAGGGAGGACTACACGGACAGAAGGGTCAAGCGCAGGGGGTACCTTTTCCAGGGCTACCACCCTTTCCAGGGGCCAGCCCCGTAAGAAAAAGCGAAAGCCCAAAGTGGATTACCAGCAGGTATTCACTCGACACATAAATCAGATTTTCATTCGAGGTGAGAATGTCCTCCTGGTTCATCTTGCACAGTGACCAGCTCGGCCTCACTTGAGCTTTGGTTTTAGAAGTAAAATGCATGAATTGCTGCTATGCTGTATCCTAGTATCCCAGTGAAACTCTGAGTTGGAATGATCCTCTCTGGTCCTGCATGTGCGGAGCATAGAGCCAGGCTCAAGCCCTCTGGGAGATGAGCTCCCTGAAGGGGAGATAGGCCTTGGAAGGGCGGGTGGGTGTTTGCACTAATATCAAGGCAAAGTCTGTACAGAGGTACATGCATCTGCTTTGGTATCATGGTCTACTTCAGACACTCAAACTAAATATAGGGTCTTCATTTGAATTAAGGGTCATGGTATGAATTGAATTCATTCTACAGACACTACAGCATGGGGGAGATAAAACCAGCTCGAAAAAGAGTGATCTCATTTCTAAAAGCTAGTGCTCTGAGTACTCAGGAATTTCATTCTAAGAGTAGCAGTATAGGCTGCCCTGGAGCCCTGCACCCATGTGTTGTAACTGACCTTTGAATTTTGCTCTACACCATTCTCTCTTGATTAGGAAATGTAATGTATTATCTTTGAATATCTGTAAGATCTCAGAAAGCTACGAACTTATGTAAGAGTGAAGTTTGCATAGGTTGTATGCTCAAAGGAGCCAGCAATGAAAGCTCTGTTTTATCCTCCTCCTTATTATCTGTCTTCCCCTTAACCAGAGGTAGCTTCTGCGAATGGCATACCAGATGGGACTGTAAGATGCTCGTGTGGTAGCTTCTTGTCCTTCTCTCTCACTTCTGTGGCATGGTGCTAGTGCATGTACCGTGTGTATTGCCCCTCTGTACGGAGTGTAACCTGTCCTTGGAGCTTTATGGCAGGGGACTGTGACCTTCATGTCTGGCTTTAAAGAGTTCTGCGTGAACTCAATGATGCCGATACATCACGCGGCTGAGAGTCCCCTTTCCAGGCAGGGCTGGCCCTGTGTGGAATATCTTCTAGAATGGTTTTCCATCAAACAGGGGTGGTAGTTTTATTCCCTTGTGTCAGGCCAAAGAGGTTCTCACAAGTACAATGGGTGGTGTCTGTAAGGGACACTTTACTCACAGCCTGGCTTGAGTAACAGGAACCCCACAGCACCCCCTAATGCTTCTACTTGAATCTTATTATATGCTTTCTCAATCACCAGTGCAGAATAGGCTGTTTCTTGACACAGACTGTTAGGCAATATTGATTTTTTGTTTTGTTAGTTTATATTTGGTTTTATTTTAGATAACCTATGTTCAAAGTAAGAATAAGAAATAGCTAACTAGTTAAAATGTTTGAAAAGAGAAATTTCCCCTGCTGTATTTGTTGTGTAACTTAGAGAAGCCTTCTGAGCAGCAGGGTGCATAAAGTCTATGGAGCTGGGACACCTGGTCCTTCTGCCTCCTGGGCCGCTGGCTTGTCATCCAATGCAAGGAGAGCAGACGCACCCCTCTGTGCTCAGCTTTTCCCCATCAGACACCTACCTCACAGGAGCCCTGAGACAAAGATTTTCAGGAAGACATTTTAAAGTCTCCAAACATGTTTACGTGCCATGAATAGTTTTTAGTAACTCTGTTTCATTGCTTGGTAAGAATTCTATGTCTTATGAGCAAGGCAGGTGCTACATGAGAGGGTAGTCTCTGTAGGTGTCATATTGATGACGTTGTTGTGACCAGAAGGCAGTGGCATCTTCGGGAACTATTTCCCGTAGTCCACTCCTTTCTCCTGAGGGACAGTGGCAGTTCTCAAAATATCTTCAGTAAGAGAAAAGTAACATTTCTTTGCTGCTTCCCTCACTTCCCAGGCCCACCCTGTTCTGATCATTATCAGAGAGAATTCCCCTGAGCTTTTCAAGGGGTTCATATGATAGTTCCAAAGGGAGAGTGTGCATCTAAAAATGACACGTCCCCAAAGGGGAGTTTTTGGAATTTTTTGGTTTTCTTGTTTATTTGTTTTTATTTTTATTTATTTTTTTATTTTTACTTCTCCCCAAAGCCCCCCAGTACAGTTGTATAATTTTTAGTTGTGGGTCCTTGTAGTTGTGGCATGTGGGATGCCGCCTCAACGTGGCCTGATGAGCAGTGCCAGGTCCGTGCCCAGGATCCAAACTGGCGAAACCCTGGGCCGCCGAAGCAGAGCGTGTGAACTTAACCACTCGGCCACAGGACCAGCCCCTGTTTTTGTTTTTAAATGCGTTTTAAATATACCCTTTAGAGCCAGATCAGAGGCACTAAACATTTAGAGAGGTTCCAGGTTACAAGCTTAAGTGAATAGTTATCTTTGGAATCTGCCAATCTAAATTCTCTTCTAAATATTGTGTCTAAAATCTCAGTTCCCCAATTAATGTCATCTTGTTTAGTCATCAGGCGCCCCTCCCTCTTGCTCTTTACCAATCTCCTCCGTTTGGCTGGTCCCCATCTCTCTGTCCTCTTGTCACTCAGCTAGAAGCTATAATAGACACTAGATTTTCCCAATAAAGTGGAAATTTGGAATCAAAAGGAGTCTAATCAGTTTCCATTTTTCTAGTGCCTGATTAAATCTAACCCGATTTATTTTAAACACTTGCTGCTTTTCATATTTGCATATAATTTTCATATATCCATGTAAGGATTGATTTACTTTTCTGCCCAACTTAACAATTCTGGCTCTGAAAATTATTTTGAAACGTGTGTGATCTGTCATATGTGCCCATATGCCCCCGTTTATTTATTCCATTTGGACAGTGATTTGATTCTGGAATGAATACTATCTAGTAATGTGCTATTTTGTACAAAGCATTATAATTATTTTTTTTAGAGAAGTCAGTTATTTTTAATTATTGTCTTTTCCTTATTATTGGAGAAGTTTTTCAAAAAGAAGAAAAAATAAGTCCTAATAATGTATATGTTATTCAAAAAATGTGATCACCTAGGACATTATAATCAGTTGCTATGGAAATAATTGAAACTGATTTCTAGTATTCCAGGGATGTGGGCTTGGGACACTTGGTAGGAATAGTACTTATTTTTGAAAATCCAACATTGGTTCTTCAAAGTAATGTCTAGATGTGGGAATGTGTTTTCAAGACAATTCACAGGGCATTGCTGTGCACCTGAGGTCTTCCCAGGAGCATCCGGCTTTGCTAGATAGTAACCAGGGATTGAGAAATGGAAGGTGTGCTTTCATGCTCAGAACCATTTCACATGCCGTCCTTTGTACACAGTGGTGATCCTACTGGTCTACCACCAGGAGAGCTTGCACTGTAAATGGTTTGTTCTAGTATTTGGGAAGCATTTAGGCTTCTTTTCAGAGACCATCTTGTGACAGAGGTGTGCCATTTGTGAGGTGGTAGCCAGAGTTAGCAGTGTCGAAGGCAGGTGACTTTAGACTGGTTGGTACCTTGCTCTCTGTGCATGGTGCATGTCAAGTCAGAAAGCCCGGACACCATTAACATTAGTCTAGGTGCCTGGAAGTCCTTGCTATGTGTTGTTAGTGGGTCAGGAGGGGTTTCATCTATCCTGGTGGGGAAATAGTCCAGGCGCACCTTTAGAGATAGTCAGATCATGAGCTATGAGCTGCCCTTAATCCTCAGAAGCCTTGCAGAAATCTAGGTATACCACTTCCACCCCTTGAGAAAAAATGGAAATCTAACTTGATGCAGAGTGGATATTTGTATTTCTCTTTGCACTATTCCCACAGCAGCTGACATGGGCAAAATCATGAAATAGAATTGGTTCTGTAAATTACTTCTTTAAATTTTCTCTAAATTTTGCCTTTAGAAAAATTAAAATCATTCAAAGACAGCTAGCTGTCACTGGTGCTGCCCCAAAGCTTTCCAATCTTTGTATTTTTTATGAATGAAATGGTTGCTGTGGGAAGGTCAAGGTTCATGTAAGAACATCATAGTATAAACATAATGGTTTTGCAACTGTTTAATTTTTCTCTTCCTGTGCCAGATATAGAATGCAGTTGACCCCTTTTCAGTAGCTTCTGTTCATCAGCCTGTGTTTTCCTGGGCAGACAGCTTTTCTTAGTGATTGTAAAGCAAGAAAATCCTATATAGGCCACTGTTGCAAATGTGGGTGGTCAGTCATTACTTTAGAGGAAATTGAGTGATGAATTTAGGATAAGCCTTTGGGGTTCCCGTCACAGTTTCCTGGCCTCTGAGGAAGGGTTGGGCCACCTTTGTTCTCAGTGTTTTGAGTATTTTTCAAATGTTTGTATGTTCTCCTGCACTCCTCCAATAAAAATGAAAGCTCTCTGTTGAGAAATGGCTTTGGATGGTTCGGAGATCTAGAGGAAAAGAAGTGAGCGCACCTGAGACCTTCAGTTGGTCTTTTATTTATTTAGAATAAAAAGTAAGTTTGATAAGCTACCAGAGTTAGTGCTTCTTTAAAAAGACTCTGAAAATATGGGAACTGTCCTTCAGGAAAGCTAGAAAAGCTATTCCCAATACATTGCAATTGCTTTTGATTTTTAGTCCTTTGGAGCCAATATCTGATGTTATGTTTTTAGAGCTGTAGGGGGAAAAAGGTGTAAAAAATTTTAAGGGGTGTTATTTAAGCAATTATTTGTGAGCTAGGTTCTAGGGCAGCTGTCCAGTTCTTTTTATGTTGTCCTGACAGTAAAGCAGATAATAAGCAATGTCTTGAAAAGTGATTTGCTTATTTCATACTGACATCTAAAGGCAGTAGCCTTCTGTTTGGCAACCTGGGGGTTACCCTCTGCACCATGACTTATTAATGTCCTTTAGACAAAGCTAACCCTGGAAGACTCTATGTATTTATAGTTTCCTGTTCATGTACCAGCTGCTAAAAGAAAAAGCATAGCTTGTAATCTTGTCTTGAAATTACTCCTAATTGTTAAGTTCACCGGAACCCTTCCTGTTTAGGGAGGATTGCTGCTAGTAATGTCAGTTTGCAATGTTCTGCTTTGGGGATGTGTCGTATGGAGGTCTGGAAACTGTAATAAATGATTGTATTCATGTGCCGGCTGCCTGTCTCTGCTGATTTGGGGAGTGGTGGAGGGGAAGAGGTGAGGGAGCCTGCTACGGAGTGAAGACACAGACCTAGAAAGTTAAAACATCTCAAGCCTTCTGCAGTCTCCTTGTTGTGACCTTGTGCTTTTTCTTTACCAAAGCACACACATCCAGATCACTCTCCTTGAGGTAGCTTTGTTCTTCCGAGTTTATTTGAAGTTCATGCTTAGAAAAGGAGGTTGGCTCACATTGCGAATTATCTCTTCTAAGCCCCAAGCAATGGTAATTTCCCTGTGAATTTATTCTACTTACTAGCTCACTGGCATTAATCCACTATCTTCACAATCTGCTGAGATCACGTTGACTCTGCTCCCCTTTGAGGGTTTTACCATGTTTGACTAATTGATCCTCACATGGTTCCAGAATTATCTGAATTTACCACCAGCTTTCCTCTGCGCATGTACAGGAAATCAAGCTGCTCAAAAATTTGCCACGTCGATTACTTGGTCTCCTCTGTGTGCCTCCAGAAATGTCACCCGGGCAAGGTGGGCAAACAAAAATCACATTGGTTCCTAGAGAGGGAAACCTCAAGTTAACTGTCCAGACCCAGTTCCCCACTTGCAGAGAGTACATTAAGTTGGGCTTGGCTGACATTCAGGAAATTCTAACCACCACAGTGGAGGAGAGGGAGGCAAGACCCACAGGCTCCAGTTCTGGCTCTTGCTTGTTTTGTATCTCAAAGACTCCTGATTAAATGAGAATATCCTCATTCATCAAAATAAAGGCAAAAGAGTTGGTTGGCTTGACGTTTAAAATACACAGTGACAGTTAAATATTGGCAGGGGAGTGGAGGCCGGTGGAATGAGATGTATCTATCACTCTTCCCTGTGCTTCCTGGATAGGAGTTCCTCACCCAAGCTCCTTCTCTCCTGGATTCTAAGTGACGTTTTCTGGTCTGCTCCGTTACCACTAGGTGGCAGTGGGCTAAAGAGAACTGCTCACCTAGAGGCCCCAGAAGAGCCTGAGTCTCCAGATCTCCAGTCACTGCCGCAATCCGTTGTTAAATGCTCACCAGAGTTGTCTGCGATAATGAAGGAAAAACAAGCTATAATCAACCCCAGTGGCAACTTAAATGTTTCTTGCCAATGTTGGATTTACCTAATTTGAAGCTTAGGAAGCCTGACTGTTGGCGATCAGCCAGTGAGTGTGCTTGGGGAAGAGTCCTGGAGAAGAGATTGCCCAGTGGCCAGTGTTTCAGGGAGGCTGTTGCTATTCTCACATCAGGGGTTCCTCATTCCGTCTCAGGATACCGTCGACTCCGCCCAGCCTCTTCCCACCTGCTGGGAAAACTGTCTTGATGCCCCTATTTCTCAGCAGCTGTCTCACTTTCGGAAACAATTCAGTTCCCCACAGTGGATGCCTGAGAGCCCATTGGCGAGAAAGGTTGCAGAGTGGAGCCTCCGCTCCCAGACTGAGCAGACGTGCTCCCAAGTCAGAGGGAGATTTACGCAGACACAGAGAAGTCCGTTGTTGGAGGGTGGGCACCAGGGGCAGAAGGGGTGGGTGGGCAGTGCTGGTAAGACACCTAGCACTTATGTCAAGGCCTTCAAAAGACCTCTCAGCCTCAAGAAATGATTCCCAGCAGCTGTGGGGAAGAGAAATACACTATGAAATAATAAATGGATACTGGTCTTCAAACGAATAGCTGGAAATAAGATTTTAGCAAAGAGCTTTATCACATGCCTTTTTGGACCTTGGCAGCTTGCATCATGTTCCTCTCAGCCACGCTACGTGAAGGGGCAGAGGACAGATCAGGCAATAGGAAATACTGCCGTTTTTGAGCATTTCAGCCCTGTGCCAAGCACTGTACATTCCTTACCTTGTACAGATACAACCACCTTGGGAGGAAGATTTTATTCCTATTATATATGTGATGGAACAAAAACAGAAAGGTTAAGTAACTTTCCAACATCTCTGCTAATAAATGGCAAATTTGAGATTCCACCTACATCTGTCCAACTCTTCAAGTTGATTGTTAGCCAACTGCACCTTAAAAATACAAAAT